TTTGAATTTGAACTTTTGTCTAGACTGAATTTTGAATGCCTCTAGGCTGAATGTCGACCGAATTCGGAATCACCAATAATAATGATCATGCCGGCCACAGTGTGGTCCGTATTTATTTGCGAACGGTTTGCTTTGTTTGCTAAAACTTCTCAAAACTACCTAAATTGGTGCCAGGTCGTGAAACTCCTGAGTTCAACGCTCATTTTAATGTTTTGCCAAACCGTTCGATTTTTGTCGACGCCATCGAATTATTTGAAGTGAATTTAAATTTAATTGTTTGATTATTTGAAATGACCTGGATCTGAAGGTGTATTGACTCTGATATATACTGAGTGGTCCCATCCGTGACAATATTGTCATCCGCTATGACAACAATATCTCCAACTTTAATTGGTTTATTATCGTCTGTCCATTTGGAACGTTTATTCAGCCGGGGTAGATATTCCTTCATCCATCTACGCCAAAATATATCAGTCATCATCTGGAATTTCTTCCACTGTTTTCGTAATGTTGATCCTGAATCGGTTATACATATTGGTTCATTCTGATTACCATATCCAACCAAGAAATGATTCGGGGTAAGTGCTTCAGGATCTGCAGCATCCACAGAAACATAGGTGAGGGACTCTAGCTGTCTTCCAGCATGATGGAAAAATACCCGACCTGTACGAGATGGTAAACAACTTGCAGAGAATCGGTGTTAATTCTGGTGCACATTTTTTAAGGATAGTGGAATTCCATCAGGACCGTTAGCCTTATTCGTTTTGAGACCAAGCAAAATTCGTCTGATAGTGCGTTGACGGAAGACGATTTCGGGCATTCGACTCTCAACGGGTGGAATGTCTGGCGGCAGTTTTCCTTGGGAATCTAAAGTAGAGTCATGATACTCTAGTGATTCTATCGGTAGTTGATGGATGAAGTCTTGTCACTCGACCTAATTGCCAGTTCTTGGTGAAACAATTATTATCTCTCTTTACAAGAACCATGGATCCAACCTTTAGTAGTTCCGGACACCTCATTTCTCATTTGGTACGAGTTTGTAATTCAGCTAAATATTCTTTCTGCCATCTATCCCAGAAATGTTGTGACATAGCTTGAAGTCTCTGGTAACGGTCTAAACGATTGTCTGGAACATCTACTACACTAGGTTCCGGTAATGCAGTCAGTGTTTTTTCAATAAGAAAATGGACTGGCGTCAACGCCGTCAAATCTTCGGGATCAGTAGATAAGGGAAACAAAGGTCTGGAGTTTAGGATAGCTTCAATTCGAATCAATATTGTAGAAAATTATTCAAATGTCAATTTTGCGTCTCCAACTACACGTTTGATGTGAAATTTTGAACTCTTTATCCCTGCTTCCCAAATCCCACCGAAATTTGGTGACCGAGCAGGTATGAAATGCCACCTAATATTTTCATTTGAAAGTTGATGTGCAATGGCCGGCGTACCTCAGTGCTTCGATGCTTCAATATCGATTCACGTCGAGATATCGATCGTGGGTTCGAGACCCACGAACGCAGACTTTTTCTGATGGCCTAAGAAAGTGTTTGGGATCACACGTTAAAAGGTAAGGCCGCCGTCATTCCTTGCTCGCACAAGTCTTTCGAAGACTTCTGAGGGTTGCTCGTAAGGGGGCAACCGAATGACGGATAGAACAATTTCAGAACAACAACAACAACAACAAAAAAAACAATGGTCTTGTGACTGGTTTTTTAGAAATTGATATAATCTACAAATCTCATTATTGGCTCCTACAGAAATGGTCCCATTAACAGAATTAATATTGACAGGTCTGCCTGGTTAATTCGGAAACGAGTTCAATATGTATCGCCTTTGTGGACATACATACGAACAAACAAATGTAAGCTTCCAATATTTTTGCACCACGAGTCTCCCTGTCCTTCAGAAGGAAAGGGGCGCCATAATCTATACCAGGGTTTCCCAAACTTTTTTTTCTTGAGGCTCCCTGGACTACGAATAATATTTTCATGCCCCCCCTATACTTTTACAATAAATACAAAAAACGCACATTATGTACTTGAAAGCCTTTTATTTTAATTCCAGTAAACAAACTCCAAAAGTTTAAATTAAAATAATAAATGTTTTTTATTCAAAAAATTTAATAAAATAAGAGTAGGTATTAATGAGACACTTGAGCTTGCATGTTCTGTACCAGTTGGTTGATTCTAGGTTCTGTTCTTGCCAGAGCTATCATCAGGTCGCTATCGACATCAAGACGATTTCGCTGTTTAGTTTCAATTGAAACTAGAGCAGAAAATCCTGTCTCACACAAGTAAGTAGAAGAAAAAGTTATTAATACTCGTAAAGCAAGAGAGGCAAGTTTCGAATTAACAGACAATCTTTTGATCAAAAATTTCTCCAATGTCAAAAGATGGAAGTCATCTTTCATGGACGAATCAGCTTTCATTTCTAGAAATTCTTCCTGAACTTCTTCTGGTAATTCTAACACATCGACAACAAATGGATTTCTTGTCATGTGTCATATTGGTGACTCTGAATCGATGTCTCGATAGTATCGGCGAAATTCGTATTCCAGCGCTTGTAAATGAGTATATAACATTTTCAGAAGAGAATTTTTAATTCCAAAGTTGAAGCTTTGCTATGAACCCCTGAATATAATCATAATTGCTTATTATAGTGCCGTTTCTGCCCTGAAGTTTCAAGTTTAGCTCATTCAAGGCACCAAATATGTCAGTTAAATAAGCCAACATACATTGAAATATGTCTTTGAACATTGTGAGCAAATCGTGTTTCTCTTTGAACTCAAGAAAAAGAATTACCTTACCTAATTTTTTGTTTTTTTGCCTGTTTACCACATTAGTGATAATAAGAAAAAATATACGCTTTGCGCCCGCGCCCCCCTTGACATCTCTCTATGCCCCCCTTGACATCTCTCTATACCCCCCTTGGGAGGCGTGCTCCCCTGGTTGGGAACTCATCTGATCTATACCAACATTCAGGAAAGGAGCATAATTGTTAACACGAATGTCAGTTAAGTTACTCATTAAATACTCAGCGCATTTTGGTTTTGCTTTCGAACAAATGTTGCAATTTTTGATAATTTTCTTGCACGTATTTCTTCCAGCAATTGGCCAGAAATTTTCACGAATGGAACAAATTAGATTTTGAGCACCACAATGAAATAGTCTTTCATGTTCATCAATTAGAATGAGATCGGTTAATTTATGATGTTGAGGTAGTAAGATTGGATGCTTTTTATCAAAGGCTATATTGGATCTTTCGATTCGTCCTCCTACACGAATCAACCCATCATGAATAAAAGGATTCAAAGATAATATTTTACTTTTTTTATTGACTGATTTTTTATCCATGAGATCATTATATCCATAAGTAAATCCTTGTATTTGTGCTAATTTTATTGATAATTTGCCTTTGTATTATCCAGTAATCTCAACATATAGCTTAATACTCGTTTTAATGTCCTCAAAGAGGAAAATTTATTAAATAAATTCATATCATCAACCTAAACTGACAAATTTGAAACAATGCGTCGTTCTGGAATATTATCAATTATTTTATAATCATTCATGATCCATTCAGAATCATCAACGGAAAACTATTCAGGACCATTCCACCACAGTTTTGATTCCATTAGTGTCTTAGGTGTACATCCACGAGACAATAAATCAGCGGAGTGTTAAGTTGACTGTACATGATGCCAATCTGACACATCAGTCAACGATTGAATTTCACTCACCCTATTTCTCACGAAAGTTTTCCGGTCACTTGGATCGTAATTGTTAAATCCGTCCATAGAAAACAACAGTCAATATTTAAATCGAAATTATCAAGAATTCCTTCCATTAATTTTGCAAGGAGTAATGCTCCACTTAATTCCAAGCGTGGTAGATTTATTGATTTTATTGGAGCAACCCTTGATTTTGCACACAGCAATTGCGACTTGAACGTGCCAGATTCAGAACATCTTATATAAATGCATGCTCCATAAGCCTTCTCGGATGCGTCAGAAAAACCATAGCACTCGATTCTGATGCAATCAGGAACTAAAACCATTCTAGGAATTTTGAATTCATGGATACAATATTATTCTCTTTGAAAGTTAACCCACTGATTCAATAAATGGTCCGGTATTACATCGTCCCAAGGAATTTTTTGTTTCCACAACTCTTGGATGATTAGTTTTGCGACAATCATTACAGGCCCTAGTAGACCTAAGGGATCAAAGACTTGGCATATTTTTGAGAGTACTGAACGTTTGCTCACTTGACCTGAAATACTTAGGTCATGTATATAATATTGAATAAAGTCAAAATGAAAATTCCAGTAAATCCCTAATGTTTTATTATTTTCATATTCTCCCAAATATAGCACGCCTACATCCAGCCCTTCGATTTGAAACATGTAATCAAATCCTGCGCTTTTTAATATTTCAGAAACATCATGTTGTTACATTTCGGACAGTCATTAAATGTACACTGATTAGCAGCATGGCAACGTGAACATTTAATGCATATTTTAAGTTTTTTCACTTCAAGAAATCTTTGTGGAACTGAAAGTTTCAAAAATTGGTAACATCTATGTATGCTATGTGATTTTTTACACTGTATTTTATTTGTGCTGACGAATGAACTACCGGTCTGTGGTTGTTCAGCGACTTGGCTAAATCGAAATCAAAATAGGCATTCAGGAAAGAATCACTTGTATCAGTGGTATTCGTTTATACGAGTCGATGCATAGATTTCGGGAGGTGTAATTCTTTTTCCTGCGTTGCATTAGCTAGGAAAGTAGTTGTTTTCCTCCCATTGTTGTTCATTTCATGAATAGGGGAGAGTCGGTATGTTTGGGTCACTTTTGAGTTTTGTGCATATAAAAAAAACTATAATGAATTACGCTTTGAAATTTTCACTTCATGTATATTGCGCCTTGTCAAATTCATCCTACTTAACAACAGTTGTTATATTTTCCATGAATGGTAGCCAAAAAATGTTCATCACTCACTTGTATTTTGGCCCAGAGCTCTCCACTATGGGGAGCTTTGGGTTGCGTTGTGGGAGGTTTGGGTAGAAATAAAATAAAACCGGCTATATTAGGTTTTTTATCAAAAAATGCTCCAAACTGCAAACTTTTAATCTTTAAGTGTTCATGAGATCACACAGATAGCTTAAGATAATGACAAACAGATAACAAGTATGGTATGAAAAATCATCTCATCGAAGATTCACAATAGATTCGAGGTTGACGCCAAAAGTCATATTCGAAATAGTTCTGCTAATTCCTCCCAGATGAGTTGGTGGCCCCAAACGTAATACTATATCTTTGCATTCTACAGAACATCTTATAACGAATATTTTCTCATTAGCTCTGGTAAGGGTTGGAAGTTACCTACCTTGTTTGATGTCCATCAATATTCGTTATAGTTGTGGCAGCTCTGTTGTTAGGGAGCAAGGTATGGGTTCTTTATCAATAGGGGTCCTATTTATATAGTCAGGCGCCACCCAATTTATTTTAGCAAAAATTGCGAAAAGAAAACTGTTGGAAATAAAAGATCTCAGTTGGACTACACTTATTTAATAAACCCATCAGTAGCAATTTATATAAAGGAAGAGAGATACTTGGACACAACCAAGTATTGTTTCAGTTCTTATCTTATTGAACTGTGTTAGCAGTTCTGAAAGTTGATATTCTTGTCTTTACACCAGGGTGCCTAAAAACACTATCATTTATCAAAGTTACCCCCCTTATATTGGCCAATATATGAGTTCACAAACTGGTGTGAGACTCACTATATAGTTATATTAAACTCTATTTTATGTATTAGTTAATTAATTTCATAATTAAATTTAGGAAAATTAAATATCTATGATTTCGAGTGGTAAAATCCACCTATATGGGATTCATGAGAATATCTCCCCTTTGATCATGAGAAACTGGATGGGTCTAACCTTGTGGTCTCAGAAGCAATTATGGCCGGCAATTTACACAGCCTGAGGGCCTAAGAAGCCACACAGCAAACAGCAGAAATGAGAGCCACACAGCAAACAGCAGAAATGGAGGTAGCACTGCGTCCCAGGAGTCTCATGGGGCCAGTGCCTGGATGGGACAATGCGGGCCGTTTTGTCACGTGTCCAGGCGGTTCTAGAGGAACAGCGGGGCCTTCAACATTCCTGGGCAGCTGATGAGTGAAACAGGGCTCCAAAGCTGGGGCAGGCTGCTTGACATGCAGGAACTTGTAGGAATCGGAGACAGAGGCAGTTTCAGGTCGTCGAAAAAATCCGGCGTGGTCCAGTCGTGAGTTAACCTTACCCAAAAAGGCCAGCAAATCTGGAATAATCCCATCTGCTAAAAGGTATCCCGAAATGGGAATGAAAATAAATCAGCTTACCTTCCCGTAGGAATAGCCTATGTTTCGGGTGCTGCTCACACCGGAGGAAGAAATAAAAATGGTTAACCATCTTCATGGAATCTCAGAGCTCGTCGAACAGACAGAATTTCGACAAGGAAAAAGGAAATTCGTCACTAAATGAGCAGATCATTTTGAAAACCGTTTAGAAAAAACATTCGAAATGTAAAATTAGTTTCTGCGCACCTGCAGAACCAACTTAATAATAATAATTATCATATTGCCAACTGCCACATGAAACAGCAGAAAAACCCACGAGCAGCAGACGACAGTAACGTACGTGTAATCGCAGCTTCCCCTACCCACAGACCAGCAGTGGGGCTCTGAGGATTAGAAATGCGTAGTAGAATCGAATTGAATCGAAATTTGCTACTCTGATGAACGTTTTCTACTGAAATCCCCTTGTCCCGCAACCACCGAGAGAATTGCCTTGATACGAAAAATGTTAGCTCTAGAAACCCATTTAATTATGTGTGTCAAACAGAGAAAGTCTTAGCAGAGAGAGATGCCCTCTTGGTTCTACTGATGTTCTACTTAACCTAACTTTTTATATAACTAGAAACTAGAAACAAAAGAAAAAAATTTTTATTTGTTATATTGTGATTGTGAATCATTATTTTTTTATTTGAAAAAACGAGTGTGAATGTGTTCAGTATCAGGAAATCCGAAGAAAATGCGTGTTTCAAATGATCACTGGACTACTATATTAGAGTTTTCCGAATTACACAAGGAAATAATAACTAACCGATTTAGCACCCACTTCAACGGGAAACAGAAAATTGTGGAGTTATGGGAAGATTTGGCCACCAAATTAAATAGTCTAGGCCAAGGTGAAAGGTCTGTTGAAGAATGGAAAAAAAAGCTTGCAGACTGGAAATCAAAAACCAAAGCTAAATCTGCTAAAATATATAAGTATATTCATGGCACTGGTGGAGATCCTTTTATCAATATAAAGCTAACAACTTTGGAAGAAAAACTTTTGAGCCTGATGGAAACTGCAGCTGCTTATTTATTTATTTATTTATTTATTTATTTACATAGGTTACCCAACAGGACAAGCCCAATAACAGGATAACACACGATAACAATAAAAATAACAATTGTGTAATCTTGAAATACCAAAAAAAAAAAAAAATTGAGAGGATATAAAAAAAAAACTTAATCTAGTTTACAGATCCAAAGCAAAATATATGAAATTCGGCTAAGTGATCATAATACAAGTGTTTAAGAACTTCCTCAGTTTCTTTTTGAAGCACTCAACGCTAAGCATAAAAATGTCCAAATCATCAGATATCATGGTGTTGATTGTGACCGTACATCTAATCATTGGAGAATTACCAAAATAATTTGTGGAAAAATAAGGAGTAACAAATAGTTGTCTATGACGAATATTATATGAGGAACAGTTTAGTGTAAAAAGTTTTGAACATTCATTGGAATCAATTAGATTATTAAATATTTTGTAAATAAAGTATGTATCATTGAAATCACGCCTAAGAGATAGGCTCACTAGATTATAGAAAATTAGGTTACTTTCATAAGGAAAGTAGTGCCTATATCTGAAGAATCTATAATTTATAATGTTGATTAACTTCTTTTGCACAAACTCTAGTCTCTTTATGTATTTCTGATAAGATGGGTTCCAAACAACACTACAGTATTCAAGGATAGGTTTTATCAAAGTGTTAAACATAATCAGTAACGAGGAAGGATTCCTAAAATCCCTAGTATTTCTCAATATGAAGCCAAGAGTCCTTAGGGACTTTCTCACAATTTTCTCAATATGACTTTCAAAGGACAATTTTGTATCCAAAGTAACACCTAAGTCAACTATCTCATCAGAAAACGACAGTTCATCATTGTCAATATTGAGCGAAGAGATGGGTGGATTCGGGCTACGAGTAAATATGATTTGACTACATTTCTTAGTATTTAGTGAAAATTTATATATTTTACAATATTCCGAAAAGCGATCGAGGTCCTCCTGTATCAAACTATAATCCGAGAGAGATTTTAAAGGAGAGAAAATTTTCATATCATCGGCATATAATGAGATATTGCAGTGATGGAAACAGCTCCCGACGTCACTTACATAGATACTAAATAGTAGCGGCCCTAGATGGGAGCCCTGAGGAACCCCCGAGGTAACTGGCAGCAAATCAGACTTTGTGTTATTCAGTGCTATGTACTGAAATCTGTCCTGAACATATGACGTAACAAGTCCCAGCAGGTAACCATGCACACCGAAATTTCTAAGCCTTATTAACAAGGTAGGATGATGAACCTTGTCAAAAGCCTTAGAAAAATCGGTGTACACCGCACAAGTTGAGATCCCCTTCTCCATGTTGCCATAAATATCTTGTACATAGGGCACCAGGTTTGTAAGTGCAGAACGCTTTTTGAAAAAACCATGTTGAGTAGTGGTGATAGAATTTTTGACCATAAAAAACATTATCTTACAAATTATAAATTCAAATATTTTACCAAATAAACTTAGCAGAGATATCGGCCTGTAATTTGTTGCATCGTTAATGTCCCCCGATTTGTGTATCGGTAACACTTGAGCTATTTTCCAAACTTTGGGATATGTACCTTCACGTAGACATTTATTGTACAGTATGTGAAGGGGCTCAACCAGACTTTCCTTACATGATTTCAAAAATACTGCAGGGAAACCATCAGGGCCACTTCCTTTATTATTATCTAACTGTGACAATGCGGCCAGAATTTCTTCCTTACTGATTTGTTTTATATCAAAGTTATTGGAGGTGCTTGAAAGATCCAGAAGGGATGGGGTTGAGTTGGACTCGTATACACTCCCAAAGTACTCACCAAATATTTCACAAATAGTTGAACAATCAGTACCCTGCCTATCCTTGAAGTTTATGTGTCGGGGAAAGGAGCTGCATTTCTTTTTATTTGACACAAATGACCAAAATACTTTAGAGTTTGACTTTAAATTACTTTCCGATATAGCAACGTACTTATCAAAATCTTGTTTGATGCATATTTTAATTTTTTTCCTTAAAGTAGAAAATTGTTGATAATCAACTTGATTTCTATACTTAATCCACTTATTATGAGCCTTATCTTTGGCACAAATCATTTTGATAGTTCTCTTAGCAAACCAATGAGGATATGAGCCTTTTGAAATAATTTTAATGGGGACGCACTCCTCGACAACATCATTCAGAAAATTGTAGAACTTTTGAACGCTCACTTCAACATCTGAAGCTTTGAGGATATTATTCCAATTGATGTTATCGAGAGTAGTGTTGATTCGATCGTAATTAGCTTTTTTGTATAACAATTTCTTATAGTTATTGCTTGATAATGATTTGCAACTCGACAGTTTAAGTACAGCCTCCAAAGATTTGTGATGTGAGTCCTCTTTGACGAGCGGATAATTACATTGTGTCACCAACATATCAATTTTGGGGGACATCACCATGTCTAGTATCCTACCGTTAACATTTCTAATATTATTGTATTGTTTGAGTTGTAGCAGAGAGAAAAAATTAATAAAGTATTCAGTCTTGGTATCCGTGGCATTGGACGGGATGAAGCTACTCATGTCGGCTTTAGGTTGCCAATTAATATTGGATAAGTTGAAATCTCCTGTTATTATGATAAAATCATGACGATTTCTATCGAAAATATATTCGACTTTATCAAAAAATTCAACTAGGTCATGAACATTTGCATCAGGCGGGACATAGGTACAACAAAGTAAAAGCTTCTTACCTCGTTCAAAACCACAGATATCCAAAGGTCTTCCACTTTTCCGTTCGTGCACCAGTTTGGCATTGCTTGAGAATGAAAACTACTATCTACACCAATCATTACACCACCTCCATGTGATTTTCCACTACGAACAGGATCACGATCTCTTCTGTGTACGGTATATGTTGGAGGAAATATTTCGGAATTGAGAACATCACTATCTAACCACGTTTCAGTTATGCACACAAATTGGTTATCAGCATCAGATACCGACTGGTAAAAGTCATTGGTTTTAGTTTTTAGACCCCTCGTATTCTGATAGAACAATCTTAGCTCGAATTCTGTATCAAATATCACCAAACTATAGCCTAAGAAAATATTTAAAGGAGTTATGCTGTAGAAATATTCCCAAGGCTACTTTCATTAGTTATAAGATAGGCACGAGAAGTTTCATCCTTCTTCACAAATATTTTGGATTGTTTAACCCAGCGAATCATCTCGAAATAGGGAGACAAGTGATCATTTATGTAAAAAACTCCTTCACCCTGGAAACCAACATCACGCAATTTGATGCTACGTCCTCGTGGTACCCCTGACGATTCCACAACTAGATTCTCCTTGTAGTTCGATGAAAATTTGACGATAATGTTCTTTACTTGATTTTTATTTTCATTGTTGGGGTTGGGAAATGACTTCACTCGATGACATTCCTCTATATCACCATCGGAAAAGTTAACACCCATCTTGGAAAAAATGCTAGTTATCAGTCTTAACGTGTTTTCATTCGGCATTTCAGGCACTCCGCAGATTTCCAGGTTGTTATTACGACCTTGTTGTTGCAGCGTCTCGATTTCGGTACGAATAGTTGCATATTCATTTTTTAGGTACGTAACGTCTTGTTTCAACCCTTGAACTGAGTTGATACTTTTTTGAAAGTCATCAATTCGTTTACCAAAATCATCGATTTTGGCGCCATAAAAATTTAGTGATTCATGGAATTCATTCTTCATTGATTTTAAATCAGCTTGAATGTCGTTTATAGAAGCTAGCAGTCTTTTCATGTTGCCATCATTTTGCTTAAAAGTTTCTTTACAAATGTTACAAAACCATTTGACATCGGCTACAGGTTGAATATCTCCATAAGAAGGAGGTAACTTCACACATTTGAGGTGAAATAATTTTAAACAATTTCCATCGCACGGTATACCTGGATTGGATCGGCTGAGCGAATTGGAACAAACACCGCAAACATCAGGCATCTCGAAAAAGCGTTGTAAGAACTAGTCACTTTTTATTAACAGGTAGATTGTTTTATCGATTACCACAACTAATTGCCAGCCGAAGATTAATTAGGAAGCAAATCACTAGAATTGCGTGCACTATACACTGATGTTTCTTATATCTTATGGGGATAAGACTGTTGCAGAGAAAGGTTGGGGTACACAAAAAGACTCAAAACACAATCATAATGAAATAATTCAATGTCTGGTTCCCTCATTAGTAGGTACTCAGTGTATAGGAAAAAATATTAATTATTACCTATACAACTAATCATTGACTTATATTTTTCAGGTCTTAAGAGGAAATTGAATGAACATGTAGAGGAAAAAAAGCAAAGTCTAGGACCAAATGGTGCTCGAAGTGAAGAATACATAAAAGGTATATCTTCAATATTATGGATTATAGAATTCCATCACTCATCTAGTTCAAATGTATTTTCAGATCCCAGGAATTCAAGCAAAAATCAGTCCGTTGAACTCATTTTGCAACATGAAACAGATCCAGCAGATGAGAATATCATAATTGAAGAAGTAATGCTTGATCATGAATACACCATTATCCCTACATTAGAAAATGATGAGCAGGAGGTGGTAAAGTGTACTACATCAAAAAATGATTCTAAAAATAATAATGAAAAAGTGAAAAATACTTCCAAGAATAGCAGAGTTGATGTAAACGCTATGCATGAAGATGTTTTGACCTCACTTGAAAATATTAATAATAATATTTGTAAGATTGCAAATTCTTTTCAGACACTTGTAGATCATTTTTGTCAATGAACAAATAATATTGTTTTATGATGTATTAGGTTTAGGTACTTGACTCACCTTTTTAGAATTAAATAATTTTATTTAAAACAATCATTATGTGATATTGATCTTGTGATTCTTCAGAGTTTATTTTGAGTTAAGTTTTTGTGGGAATTATTATTTTTGTTCAAGTCTAATTAAAGTTCCTGAAATCATCATGTGATACATCTTGAGTAAACTGCCTCTTATTTGAGTTTCGTTTTTATTCATTACTATTTTTTCTTATAAAGAATACACTGACATTTTCATTGTTATTCTCAGCCCAGAGAATAAGAATTACACTCACAAAATTTTATAAATTGATATATTCAATATTCATTGACATTCAGTACTCATGTGAAATATCTTTGTATCAGTAAATTTCTGTTATTTTGATCCCTTTGCCCTTGACCAAAATCGATCAGTACATCAGCAGGTATAAAATAGTCATCATTTCCATCTTCTGGCTGATCTGGTATAGGGTGTTCAATATTTCGCATTAGGCACAAATTGTGCAATACTGCACATGCCACTGCTATATTCCCCACTTTCTCAGGGTTATATTGTAACTTTCTTGCCAAACATCTGAATCGACCTTTCAAAACCCCATTACACCTCTCAATGCAATTTCTTGCACTGCCATGCCTCCTATTATATCGATACTGGGGTGAACCTCTCACAGGATTCAATACAGGAGTCATGAGCCATTATTGCTGAGGATATCCTGAATCACCTAATAACCATGAATTGTGGTCCCCATCATCATAACATTGTCTCAGCTCATCATGTATAATGGAATTCCTCCAGATGAAAGCATCATGACAAGAAGCTGGATATCTGGCATTTATATTCAAAATTTTCAGATCATAATCACATATCTAGAAAATTGAATGTTACTTAGATATTCAGAAGATTCAGAATGATTGAATCATATTTACCAATTGTATGTTTTTTGAGTGGTATCCTTTTCGATTAAAGTAATTGTGTTCTTCTTCTGTAGGTCCTAAAATGGCAACATGTGTGCAATCTATTGCACCAATAACCCCTGGAAAATGGGTTTCGATCATGAACCTTTCCTTTATTCGATTTTTCTCGAATTGAGTTTGTGGAAATTTTATGTATCTCTCAGAAAGCTGATCAATTATCAATTGTGATACCTCCTTGATACACCTACTAATACTTTGTTGAGACATTGATATATTGAAAGACTGCCCAATCACCCTTTGATAAGTTCCTGTAGCATAGAATGACAAGACTGCAAATATGCTTCCTAAGGGTTGTATAGCTTTATAATTATTCGAATTCCTCATATGAGGACCGATTTCATCAAACAAGAATCGAACTAACTCCTTATCCAATCTAAACAATTGGATGAAGTGTTCATCAGTCAAGGAAAATGAATCAGCAGCATCTCTCATAACTCTTCGATCAAAATGAAATTGTCTGTAAATAGCTCTTTGGTTTTCGTTAGCAGCGTATCTAATATTGGGAAACATTCTGCTTAATTCTGCCTTATGAATTTGATATTTATAATAAGTTTAAAATTATTTTTTATTTTCAAAACTTCAAATTTGAACCTTCTTCTGTCATCTGCCATAACATTGACACTGAACCAGACACAGAACACGCAATGAAAGAAAGTTACTAGTTTTCTAACCAGAATCCCGAAGTTGACCGATGATCCAATTCTACATGAAAACACGATTTATTGGAGTGCCGATATGCGTTTCTACAAATAATTTTCGCATTGCTTTCGAAGCTATTCTACAATGACAGTTCTAATCATCAGAGTCCGCCTGCAGATAGTGGTGAAGTGAAGGTGACCTGACGTCATAGCGAAATTAACTGGGAGGATCCCGGCTACACTGCATCACCCCAGGCACTACACTCGATGCCCTCCAACTGAACTGGAATGCTCTTGACCCTTGACGTATGACGGATGACATATTACGATCATGACATATGACAATTAGGACATTATGCTAATGACCTATTATTTCCTTTTCCTATGAATGTAAATATTGAATAAAAATAAGAGAATTAAGAATTCCACAAACGACTGTTGAAAAATATCTGCAGTACCAGAACCACAAAAATAGATAACCCATTTAGGGCATAATTGTCAAAGGTGAGTATCAACAATACAAAAAGAAATTCATAGTGAATGTCCAATATCTTAGTCAGTTTGGAAATAATACATTTTAATTCTGTTTCAGGAACCTAAACTGGATGCCAAACGGAAGAACTCGTCAGTCCAGCCGTTTATATCAGTGGAGTCCCTGGTCAAGATTAGGTACAGAGTGGTCTGCTAGAGAACACCCGATGCTATGTAATTATTTTGGAATAAAGTAATCACTTAGTTCATATATTTGTTATTTAAAGACTTTCAACGTATACTGAACGATGGTAGGGTAGGTATTGCTACTAACAATGGAAATGGCAAATTTTCATGTTATAATCTGTCAACGTCATCTGGATAAAAAAATGTGAAGCTATCACTTCGTCTTCGTAAAAAGTTAACCAAATAACTTTTATTCTCCTTATCGACATCTATTATCTGTCCATAATGCAAGATAGAATTTTTCGATTTTTCTGTTGAAAAAGGAACCACAACAAAATCTCCCAGTGCTAGTGTATTGATGGAGTGATTGAAATCAGGCTCTAGTTCTTCTGGACAATGCTCCGAATCATCAGAATCGGGTAATTCCTCTTCAGTTTCAGTGTATGATTCCAATATCTGATTTTTTCTCACCATCTTCTTCTTCTTTTTTCTTGGTGGAGCTACAGGTTTGTCAACTTTTTCAACATCCGCCAATTCTTGTTTGACTATTCGTTTTCTTCCTTTTTGTCCCGCTAACTTCCTGATTTTTTCATTTTCTATTCTCTCAATTTCATTTTCTTCTGGAGTTTCCGTTAATATACGAGTTCTTCCTTTGGGTCGTCCACGGTTGGTAAATTTTCTTGGTTTCGCTTTAGGAAATGGCCTCACGGATTAAGGTGTTATAATTATGTCAGATAATATCTTGATCTTTTCATCTGGGCATGGGCTATGATTTTCAGATATCTCTTGAAGCGCTGCTAGATCGGTTTCATTTAGGTCGAGATTTCAACAATTTTCTGTGATCTCATTGGATTGACCTATCTGACCAAGAGGACAATTATCAACAGATTCGTTATCGACAGAATTTACAAACTCTACATTGTCATCTGTTCTGGATGTACCTTGTTCAACATCATGTTCTCCAAGATTTGGCCGATCTGTCACGGAAGACATCAAAAAATCATCATCGGAAAATACATCCGGATTGAATGGATGTATCCCTGTTTTCTGACCGAATATTTTGCTGGCACATAGCCTTGTCGAATGCAGTTTTTGCAAAACTCGGTATGTTATATATGTTGATCGTTTGACCAGGATCAGAAGTCATGAATCCAGAAGCTGCTGTATTATAGTAACCTTTGAAAGGCCCATAAACCGCCACATCTAATGGTTGCAATCGATGACTGCAGTGTGGTGGAAATGTTAACAAGTGAACTCCATTTTCCTCAGCGAGTGATACAACGTCAATATTAACATGGCTCTCATGATTGTCAATGAGAAGAAAGCATGGATTATCTTTAGAAGCTCTAGAATATTTTATAAAATGTTGCAGTGTTAGAACAAAGTTGCTTCTTGTCATCCACCCACTTTGGTGAGCCAATCCACAACTATTTTCTGGTCCATTCATGAGCATGTAATTTTTGAATCTCTTCAAAGGGAAAACGAATGTTGGTGGAAGGATGTTTCCAGAAGCACTTATAAAGCAACAAATGGTTACCAGTTTACCCCTTTCAGCGGAAGTGC